TTATTTTATTCATTTATTTGCATTTTACTCAAAAGGCAGAGTGTCAGAGAGACAGAGATCTTCCATTCACTGGCTCTTTCCCCAGTGCCTGCATCAGCCATTGCTGAGCCAGGCTGAAGATACAATTCTGGAACACTCCATCTGAGTTTCCCACATGTGTCACAGAGGCCCAAGTATTGAGTCATTATTTGCTGCCTCCCAGGATGTACATTGGCTGGAAACTGGATCGGAAGCAGAGCATGGACTCCAATCCAGGCACTCTGATGTGGGATGTGGGTGTCCCAAGCTCCATCTTAACTGCTGCACCACAGTGCTTGGCCCCAAAGTAGCCAGCTTTCACAGTTGCTGTAGTATCATTTTCCCCTCTTGTGATCACTGATTTTAAAATGCCCATTGTACTGGGCTGAGGGATGCCCAGGTAGTTGGTAAAACATTATCTCTGGGTATGTGAGGGTGTTTCCAGGAAAGAAAACATTCAAATTGATGAGCTGAGTAGAGTGGATGGCTGTCCTCTGTAGGGTGGGTGGGTAGCAGCCAGTCCATCCAGGGCCTGAATACAACAGAAATGTGGAGGTAGGGCAGTCTCTCTCTGAGCAGGGACAGCCACTTTTCTTCTACTCAGGACATCGGCACTCCTACTTTATACAACAAAAAGGTGGAGCTAGGGCAGTCTCTGTCTCTCTCTCTCTCTGAGCAGAGACAGCCACTTTTCTTCTACTCAGGACATCGGCACTCCTGCTTTATTGGCCCTTGGGTTTGGACTAGCACTTAACACTATTGACTCTACTGGTTCTCCAGGTTTTGGGTTTGGACTAGAACTGTGCCACCAGCTTCCCTGGTTACCCAGGTTGCAGACAGCAGATCATGTGACTTTTCCATAATCATGTGAGCCATTCGCTCATAATACATCTGTCTGTATATGTTGATGTATTTACTCTTAGCACGACATCAATCCTGATGTTAACCTCAGTAAACTGTGTTGAGGTATGCACACTTCTATCACGAATTTACATCGAACCCACAGCACAGGATTCTTCCTTGCCTTTCCTCATCCTGTATTTATTTCTCTCCTCTCCACCAGGAGAAGACTGGCTCTCCAAAACTAATGTATTAATTTGTTCAATTTTATTTTATTTTTTATTAAAGATTTATTTATTTATTTGAAAGTCAGAGTTACATAGTGAGAGGAGAGGCAGAAAGAGAGGTCTTCCATCTGATGGTTCACTCCCCAATTGGTCGCAATGGCCGGAGCTGTGCCAATCTGAAGCCAGGAGCCACGAGCTTCTTCCTTGTCTCCCACACAGGTGCAGGGACTCAAGCACTTGGGCCATCTTCCACTGATTTCCCAGGCCATAGCAGAGAGCTAGATCGGAAGTGGAGCAGCTGGGACTAGAGCTGGTGCCCATATGGGATGCCAGTGCATCAGGCCGGCCCCAATTTGTTCAATTTTATAACAAATAGTTTCCACATCACTACTCATGCTTTTCTGAGTGATCAGAAGTTGCTTATGGCTTCTTGTTTTTGTTTTCTTTATATAAAATTGCTAGCTCTTATCTGAGGTATATAAAGGTGTTAATATTTTCTTCCAATTTTTCGTTTGTCTTTTGCCTTTGCTTGTAGAGTATTTTACTTTGCATAAGTGCTTTTTTTTTTTTTTTTGACAGGCAGAGTTAGTGAGAGATAGAGAAAAAGGTCTTCCTTCCGTTGGTTCACCCCCCAAATGGCTGCTATGGCTGGCGCACTGTGCCCATCTGAAGCCAGGAGCCAGATGCTTCTTCCTGGTTTCCCATGCAGGTGCAGGGCCCAAGCACTTGGGCCATCCTCCTCTGCCCTCTCGGGCCACAGCAGAGAGCTGGATTGGAAGAGGAGCAACTGGGACTAGAACCCAGGGTACTGGCACTGCAGGTGGAGGATTAGCCTAGTGAGACATGGTGCTGGCATAAGTGCTTTCATGTTCTCAAAAATGTCTTTTCATTTACTAAGTCTATAGAGTTTTCAGCCACAATTAGAAAGAATTTTCACACATACAGCTTATAATGGAATTCACCTCTAAACCTTCTGGTATTTCTAAAGCTTCACTTAGACCTCAGGTCAATTTAGAATTTTGATTCTAATAGAAGAAGGTAAGAATACAATTGAATCTTTTCTAAATGACTCTCCCAGTTATTCCCCAATGTAATGTATTAAGAACATCCATTTAACCTGATTTGTCATCTTTATTGTACACTAAATTTCCCCATTTGAAAGTATTTCTAGACTTTGAATTCTATTCTACTGGTTTAACAATTCATAGGTCAATCCCATACAGTTTTAATTGAAAAGCTGATCAGAATGTTTTAACATCTGATGAGGTTAGTATATCCTCATAGCATTCCTCTTGGGGTATTCCTAGACATTCATGCATGTTTTCCACCCATCTATTTTCATGGGGGAATATAGTATTGGGGAACTGATGTCCTTGAGATGTACAACACAGACATGAACAAATTTCAAATAAAATGTTGGAGGAAGGCTGACACATATTTTAATTCTACTTACGCAAAGTTCAAAACTGGTAAAGCTAGTCTGCACTAACATGTGCAGTAAGGAGATTGTAGGGTATGAGTGAGACTTCATGGGTCTGATCAGGAGCTGTTTTTCCTTTTTATAACAGACATTTTATAAAAAAAGAATTTATTTATTTATTTGAAAGGCAGAGTTACAGAGGCAGAGACAGGAGCAGAAGCAGAGAGATTTTCCATCTGCTGGTTCACTCCCCAGATGGCTACAATGGCCAGAGCTGTGCTGATCAGGAGCTGTGCCGGCCTGCGGCACAATGAACTGGGTCTTCCTGAAACAGAGAGTGGGAATGCGGGGACAAGGACGCAAAGAATGGAGCCAAGACAAGTCCTGATCAAGGCTCGTTTATTGAAGAAATCCAGTAGTATTTAAACATGACCAGTTGTTTACAAGAAGGAGCACAAAAGATTTACATATCAAAAAGGCTTTTAAGGTTACAATAAAACATTTAGGTGATAAATGCAGGTTACAGGTGTGACTGATTATCTGTATCATCTCTTGTGAAAGGTTTAGGTTCTTCCTGCCTCTTCCCGGAATCTCCCCTAGCCTAATTGTCTGTGAAGTCTCCATTCATATGTTTAAGTGTAAACAAAGGGAGCGACTACCTGTGGCTGCCCACAAGGAGCCAGGAGCTTTTTCCATGTCTCCCACATGATGTGGGGTCCCACGCACTTGGGCCATCTTCTACTGCTTTCCCAGGCCATAAGAGGGAGCTGGATTGGAATGGGGCAGCAGGGCTCCAACTGTCACCCACATGGGATGCCCACGCTTCAAGTGGAGGCTTTACCTGCCACTCCACAGTGCCTGCCCCAGGATCTGTTCTTCAACATGGTTACAGGTTACAAGGTTACAGCAGGTGAAAATTAATCTTTTGTAGTTGAAGGAGTTTTTAAGATCAATGTCTTAATTGTGAAATTCTCTCCTAAACTGAAAGTTTAAAGATATAATAAATACATTGTATGAACCTGAATCAGAGGCTGGATCAAGAGTTAAAAGTGGGGCTGGTGCTGTGGCGTAGTGGGCAAAGCCACCGCCTGCAGCGCTGGCATGCCATCCATAAGGGTGCTGGTTCTAGTCCCGGCTGCTCCTCTTCAGATCTAGCTCTCTGCTATGGCCTGGGAAAGCAACAGAAGATGGCCCAAGTCCTTGGGCTCCTGCACCCTTGTGGGAGACCCAGAGAAGCTCCTGGCTTCAGATTGGCACAGCTCTGACTGTAGCAGCCAATTGGGGAGTGAACCATCGGATGGAAGATCTCTCTCTCTCTCTCCCTGTCTCTCTGTAACTCTTTCATATAAATAAATAAGTAAATAAATAATGTTAAAAAAATGTTGGGGTAGGTGGTCACACAACTCAGTAAATTATCCACTTAAAAATTAGAATCAAGTGTGGAAAACCTGAACTTGGGCTGTATGTATGCGAATATTACGACTGTTAATTTCTTCAGATGTGATAATGGGACTTAAAACCAGAGAGCAGGGGGAAAGAGGATGGGGAATACCAGGGTGACACTTTAGGCAGGGCAGTACTAAGTTTGTCCAACTAGAGCTTAACGGTACCATCCTCCACACATTGCGATCCCCTCACAAATGCTAACAAGAGTGTCTTTTAACAGCACGAAGTTGGAATCAGACTAAACATATAAAAATACGAGACTTACAATAAGTTGAGATTATGCCAGCTTGGGAAAAACCATTTTTCTTTTTTGACAGGCAGAGTTAGACAGTGATAGAGGTGTCTTCTGTTGGTTCACCCTCCAAATGGCCGCCACGGCCGGCGCACCGCGCTGATCCGATGGCAGGAGCCAGGAGCCAGGTGCTTTCTCCTGGTCTCCCATGGGTGCAGGGCCCAAGCACCTGGGCCATCCTCCACTGCACTCCCTGGCCACAGCAGAGAGCTGGCCTGGAAGAGGGGCAACCAAGACAGAATCCGGCGCCCCGACCGGGACTAGAACCCGGTGTGCCGGCGCCGCAAGGCGGAGGATTAGCCTAGTGAGCCGCAGCGCCGGCCAACAAATACACTCTTTGGAGCCTCCACCCAGTCGATCTCTGTGCATTCCTCTCCGGAAACCCGAGTTCCCCGTGTCAGCTCCCGACAGGCGCCTCGCTTTCCCCCCTTCCCATCCTCGAGTGAACTTGTACCTCACGGAACCGGCGAGTTCACGGCTGAGAGGGTGTTTCACAGCCCACACAGTGCGTGAGGCCACCATTACACGTTACAGCCACTGAAGCCACGACCCACGCCCCCGAGGAGCGGACCCCGCGGACCGCCGGGAGAGCCCCGCACGCACGGCCGCAGAACCACGCGCAGCCGGCGAAGCCGCGGGGCCCGACACGCGGGACGCGCGCACGCATGCGCCGTCCGCACTCGGAAGCCTCGCGGTGCCCGGCCTCGAGGCCTGGTAGAGACTACGTTTCCCAGAAGTCATTGCGGCCGCGCCGGCGGTGCTTTGTGCGTCTGCGCCATCTTCCGGCTCCGGGCGGCCACTCCACCGCTGCCGGGCTGGGAGCGCTCGGCGGCGCCGGCGGCACCTGGGCCCGAGGCGGCGGCACGTGAGGGCTTCTGGAGCTTTCCGGGCGTTCCTGGGAGTTAGCGGGAGCGAGACCCACGGCCAGGCAGGCGTCGGACCTGCGAGAAGCCGGGACGTCCGGCGCCGGCGCCAGTGTGTGGCTTTTCCCGCTCAGGACTACATCTCCCGCCGGCCCCTGGGGCACGGGCCCCGCCAGCGCCCCCTTTCGGCGCCCAGCGTCATAGCCCAGGCCCCTGGACCTCGTAGGTGGGTGTGGAGGGGTCCGTGGCCCTTTCGAATACTAGCGTTTGGTTGAAACTGGGGTGCAGTGTGCTTCCATGCGTCCGCTGACACGCGGGTGCAGTAACTGCCTCCAGGACTCAATGACGTGATCCCAAAAGGTTTGGAACTAGTAGTAGTTTAGAAGCAGCCTGGCACTCGGGGACGTTTTAGACGACCTCGGTCGAATTCCCAGTTTAGCAGTGGAACAGTCGAGTCAATCCAGGCCCTGCGTGTGCTAGAGCGTTGTACGGCGATTCCAGTAATACTGACAGACGTCATCGTGCGACTGCCTGTTCCAGCATGTTCGGCAGCTCCAGGGACTATTTCACTTACGCATTGCTTAGAATTAAATGGCAGTGACGTGCAAGGTGCTGTCCAAAGTGCCACACACTTGACGATAAACTAGAGAAGTGGTTTAAACGAGAACGCTCTAAATACTTAGTATCTACCGTTCGAGTCGGTGGATGCATGGGCTTGGCTTTTGTTTTGCTGACTGATTTCATATTGTACAAAGGATACATATTATGGACTTTTTTTTTTTTTTTTTGCTTGGCATTGCGCACTAAAGCTGCCTCAGAATTAACCCAGTCATTTGGCACCAGAAGTGCCTGGTGTGTACTGATTTCCAGTTTTACGGCAGGTGACACTGTGTGTGCAGTTTTGTACACTGCCGTGTCTAATGGAAGGGCATATTCGTGTGCTGATAATGGAGCACTGGGCCTGCTCCATCTAAGTTGTCCACTTGTCCCCTGCAGCCCCACCCTGTTTCTTAGGGCAGAACCCATGCAGCCTCAGGTTGAGTTGTGGGGCTCTTTGTGAACTTGGAAGTGCCAAAAAGAGCCAGGTAGCCTCCTGGTGTGACATTTGATACGTGACAAAGTCAAATGGCTCGGTGCTGGCAAGGCTTTATTTTGGACCGAGGATGCAGATTATGCGGGTGCTCTGTGATCCCTGGGCTGCTGAGAGCTCTCCTTGTCCTTGAGGTGGGATTCCGTGAGAACAGGTCTCAGCATTCCTCCCTCAGATTTGCATCTGCAGAGAAGGCAGGACTTCTGAGTATTTAGTAGAAACAGGACAGAAAGAACCATGGTTCCCTGTCTCCTTGGCAGCTAATGGTGATGTCCTGAGGTTGTTTTAAGATGACGGTTTGTCCCAACGCTCTAATTTTTGTGGTTGGTGGAGGGCCAGCAGGCAGGGACTTGAACCTTGGCATTCTGGGAGCTGTCAGGCAAGCCTAGCCTCTCATGTTTGCTCTTTCCTCCCCCAGCTCTGCCACCTCAGGAGTCTGCCCTTCCCCAAGGGAGGATCCAGGAGGAGAACTCGTCAGCCCTTGAAATTCTAAAAGTCATGTCCCTCGTGAGTTTTAAAATCATGTAAATATTTGCTTATCCTGAAACTTGGCATGTGGGTTCCACGCAGGAATTCGGTTCTCAGAGGTTCCCATTTTAGGGAATTAAAAGGTCTGCACAACCTGTCCCTCTCCCATTGCTCCCTCCTTATGGATTCATGCTGTATAGTATTCTGTATCTCCTCATGGTTCAGTCTTCTGCCAGGAGGCTAAGTGGAGCTGAAGTCCCTTTCCAATTAGTAATTGAGAGCATCCATTGTAGGAACTGAAGTTTGAAGAGACAGAAATCAGCACTTACTATTAGTGATTACAATGGGGAAGTGGTGTTGGTTGGACTCAAATTCAGCCTTGTTGCAGTGTTCTGCTTTGGAAGAGAGTTATGTGTCCTTGTGTAATTGAGGCTTAGCTGGGACTCTATTAGAGATTAGGTGTTCAACCTCTAGTTTGAAGTTGAAAGGTGTTTGATGCTGGGTCACTCTGCGTTAGCTTCCTCAGCTTATGAGCAACAGCTGTGCAGAGCTATGGCTGGTAGGTGATAGCAAGGGAGACAGTCAGATGGGCACATGTTTAGAACTTGAAAGAGCTTTGGAGATCTGATCCAACCTATGAATATAAAATAAACGAATGAGTCTTTCTTTTCGCTTGATAGGAAACTGCACATTCAATAAAAGTGATCTTCATGTTTTTCTCATAAAAAATGCTTGTGATATGTTCTGATGTAGCAGTGAACTTAGCTCTTCAAGAAAGTGTTGACATACATGAAAATACTCTTTGTAATATAGAAAAAAATTGAAATTCTTAAAAATTTAATTGAGAGACAGATAGACCGAGCTCCCATCCATTGGTTCCCTCCCTAATGCCCAGAATGGCCAGGGCTGGCCTTTGGGATGGAAGCTGGGAACTGGGAACTCAATCCAAGCCTCCCATACGGGAGCAGGAACCCAGTTATTTGAGTCGTCATTGCTGCCTCGCAGAATTACATTACCAGGAAACTGATGTGACACATGAGCATCCCAACTGCTAGGCTGAATACCCACTCTTAAAACAGTTCTTATAGAATATTTTTATTTTTAAAAAAGATTTATTTATTCATTTGAAAGAGTTAGAGAAAGAGAGAGACAGAGAGGTCTTCTATCTGCTGGTTCACTCCCCAACTGGCCACAATGGCTGGAGCTGCGCCGATCCGAAGCTGGGAGCCAGGAGCTTCTTTGGGTCTCCCACAAGGGTGCAGGGGTCCAAGGACTTGGGCCATCTTCTTCTGCTTTCCCAGGCCATAGCAGAGAGCAGGATCAGAAGTGGAGCAGCCGGGACTCGAACTGGTGCCCACATAGGATGCCAGCACTGGTGGCCTTTACCTGCTGTGGCACAGTGCTGTCCCCTATAGAATATTTTTGAAGAGAATATTTGAAGATAGTCCATCAAAAAGCTTTGTATTGTTATTATTCTATGAAGATAAAAATGATAAATCTGTCACTTTGAGAATTTATTATGTGCCAAGCAGAGTAGACGACATGTTTAATACACTGTTTCTTACAGTAAGGAAAATTGCATTGCTTTGATTTTCATGGTTTAGTCCCATCCCATATCTGTGCACAAGAGCTTTGATTTGCAATAGAATGGAGTGTTTCGGAATGTTTGAACGTTTGTTTTTCTCAGGCCCATAGTCCACTATCATCTGCTCACAACCAGCCCCTGCTTTCTTTTCATTAGAACAACCCCTTCCTGCAGAAACCCATGCGACTGCTCTCATACCACAGTGAAACATTGAAATACACATATATCATGCATGTCTGTTGTTTCAGGGGTCAGAGTTGTTCAGAGATGTGGCCATAGTCTTCTCTCAAGAAGAATGGCAATGGCTGGCACCTGTCCAGAGGGATTTGTACAGAGACGTGATGCTGGAGACCTACAGCAGCCTGGTCTCATTGGGTAAGGTAATCTGGTGTATGCTCATCCCTTCCTGGTCAGTTTCTGAGTACCTTCATTTTGTGACTAGATGCTCATTTTTGAGGTGAAAGTACAGCCCATTGGCTGAAGCTGCATCTTCCCACCCTCAGATGACTGTCATGTCTTCCCCTGGTGTCCCTGCAATGCCCCTTTTGCTCAGTGACCAAGCCCTGGTTCTGCTTCCCAACCTTATCCTCCCTCACCCCACCCCTCACACACACTATAATAAGGAGGCATGTTTCATCTCCAGGTCTTTGCATATCCAAACCTGATGTGATCTCCTTTCTGGAGCAAGGCAGAGAGCCCTGGATAGAGGAGAGGGTGACGGTAGGAGACCTGTGTCCAGGTGAGTGAGACATCAGTGGGAAGGGAGCAGCTACTGCGGGTTCACATGTTAGCTGATTGGCAAGGAAGTAGGCTCTTTCATTGGAAAATCTTCCCTCCAAGTTGCCAAATTCAGAAAGTGTAGCGTATCATCTTTGTTGGTTTGTCAGTAGCATATGACTAGAGTAGTAGTTCTTTCCTTCCTGAAACATTTGAAAATTCCATTTGCATTTTAGGGCTACAGTACAAATATGGTGGTTCCTGAGGAAAGCATTTTCTCTTTAGGAAGATGTTTCTATCTTTTGACCACTTCTCTTTTTCTATCCAGTTAGCAAATTTTTTATTATCTGAAAGGCAGAAAGGAGGATCTTTCATCCAGTGGTTCACTCCCCAAATGCCTGCAACAGCCAGAGGTGGGCTGTGCAGAAGCCAAAACTCAGTACAAGTTTCTCATGTTAGTGGCAGGGACCCAACTACTTGAGCCATTGGTGCTGCTTCCCAGGGTGTGTGTTACAGGAAGCTAGAATCAAAAGTGGAGTTGGGACTCAAACGCAGGCACTGTGATATGGGATATGGATACCCCAAGGGGTTTCTTAACCCCTGTGCCACTCACTCAATTCGATTTTGTACTCCCATCCTTGAAACTGGATAACTTATAAAGGGGTTTATTTGGTTTGTGATTCCCAAACGGGATGGCACTGGAGTCCCAGTAAGGGGCTCATGGTGATTTCACAGTGGCAGAAAAGCAGGAAGGGAACTGGCTGCTGCGCAGGGGCCCTAGCACCTGGAGAGGCCTCATTCAATAACAGCCTCCTCTCAGGAGAGCTGACTCAGTCACATGATACCTGCCCTCCTCTGAGATGGGCATTAGTCCCTTCCAGTGGCGGTCACTGCCCCCCCCCGCCCCCATCCTCTAATCACTCCTTTTTAAAGGTTCTACCGCCTCAATATTGTTACACTAGGAACCCAGCTTTCAGCACCATGCTAATTTTACTGTCCCACAGTCTACTGCAGTCTCTTAGTTTTCTTTCTTTCTTGTAAGATAACAACTAGGTGTCTTTAACCATTGAGTAAATAATACATAAGTAGCCATCATAATGGTTGTGTTTGCAGTTTATATCACCAGATGAATAGTTGGACCACAGCAAAAAGACCCATAGACTTCCTCTTGAACATTCAAACACAGTATCTGAGCTAATATCTTTGAAGTCCTTTTTATATGATCTTGTTGCAGTGATACATAAATGCACAGTAGTTGTGACGTAAAATTTTAAAGTGACAGCCAACATCATTCCCACAAAAATCTGATGCCTTTTCAGTCTTCAGTATTTTCCATGGTAGAGGCAATCCTGTATTTCAGTAGTTTTCGCTTAGCATTTTCACAAATAGTAAAATGAGTTAATCTCTGATACACCACTGTGTGCAGCAGACATGTGCCCATGACATCCTCTAAGGCCACCCATCTGGTAAACTTTATGGCCGCAGTCAAAAGCATTCATTTGCTTTCTGCCATGGATCCTCACATCAAGCTTTAAGGAGACTTTTTAGTTCACGTGGAGTTACGTACTGTAACTGAGACTTGCCACTGTAGCTGCAATCTTGCCCCGTGTGTCAAGTCAGGACCACATATCCCATTCAACTTGTTCTAGGAATTTGAATTAGCAGTGAAGTTTGTTGCTTTGCAAGGATCTCCATCTCCAGTAAACTGGACCTAATCCTTTAAACAAGGAACAAGAGCCTTGTTTTACCAAGGTTACCTTTAAGCAGTGGAAAGATCCAAAGGAGGCTTCTGCTCAGTTGGTGCTCAGCTCAGTGTTGGATACAGGAACTGTCACAGAAGGTGGCAGCAGCATAACCATAACTTCCACTGGGTATGTGAAAATAACTGCTACCGTACTGCCACATCCCTGGCAGGCTCTGGCTCGTTCCTTCTCCCACATGTCCTCTGGCCACTGAGGCAGGGTGTGGATCCAGCACCACACTCATTCCGTTGCTTTTATTTGCATTCTTTAAAGTTGTAAAATACTCATAAAACATATCATTTTAATTACGTGTACAATTTATTAATATTATATTCATATTATACAACTGTTAACTAATTTCATCTTGTGAAATCCTCACTTAAAAATGTATTCTATTGGGTATAACTTAATAAAGTACATGTTTTGAATATAATATTGATAAGTGTTGACAGATTTCTACACTCATGTAACCACCAACACAATCGAGACAGAATATCTGCTTTACCCTGATAGTTCTCTGTGTTCCTTATTGCTCAGTTTCTCAGCCTCAGGCAACCAGTGATTTCTTATTGTCACTCTACAGATTATTTTTGTCTTTTCTAGAGTCTCATGGAAACACTCATTTAAAAAACATGGTTCAGAGATGAGTGAGTCACACTAGCATTTTAGACCTGTTGTTAATCAGTTCTCACTTGGTTACCTCCCTCATCTCACCTCATGATATTTCCCCTTTCTCTCTTCTGCCTGTTCACTTTGCAGTTGCCTAACCACAGGAAGGGGCTGTAGCTGTTTTCGGTCTGTACCTTCAGTTTTGTCTACAGTCCTCTTTCCAGGGAAGGGAATACAAAACACTTGCCTTTTTGTTCTTTTTCAGTGTTGGAGTCCCAATATGATACCAGGGTATCATCTCCAGAGCAGCCTGTTTGTGAAATTGAGGTACCCCAGTGGGGGATAAGGGAGCGTCTCACAAGTAATGATCTTGAGCATTCAAGTGTCCAAGATGATTGGGATGGCAGAAGCCAGTTTGACAGACAGCCAGGAAATCCAGATAGACCTTTCAATCAAATGTTAATCAGTCACAAAGAAATGCCCACTTTTGACCAGCAATCATCCCTTACTTTTTATCAGAAAATTCATACTGAAGACAAACATTTTGTATATAACAAATGTAGAAAAAGCTTCTGGCAAGAGGATTTTCTTATTAATCATCAAGGAATTCATACTAATGAGAAACCCTATAAATGTAAGGAATGTGGGAAGGCCTTTAAATATGGCTCACGACTAATTCAACATGAGAATATTCATTCTGGAAGGAAACCCTATGAATGTAAGGAATGTGGGAAGGCCTTCAATTCTGGATCGAATTTCATACAACACCAGAGAGTTCATACTGGGGAGAAACCTTATGAGTGTAAGGATTGTGCAAAGGCCTTTAGTCGAAGTTCACAGTTGATTGAACATCAGCGAATTCATACTGGAGAGAAACCATACCAGTGTAAAGAATGTGGCAAGGCCTTCAATCGGATCTCACATCTTAAAGTACATTACAGAATCCATACTGGTGAAAAACCCTATGCTTGCAAGGAATGTGGGAAGACCTTTAGTCATCGGTCTCAGCTGATTCAACACCAGACTATTCATACTGGCAGAAAACTCTACGAGTGTAAGGACTGTGGGAAGGCCTTTAATCAGGGCTCAACTCTTATTCGACATCAGAGAATTCATACTGGTGAGAAACCGTATGATTGTAAAGTATGTGGAAAGACATTTAGAGTGAGTTCACAGCTTAAGCAGCATCAGAGAATTCACACTGGAGAGAAACCCTACGAATGTAAAATATGTGGAAGGGCCTTCAAACGGGTTTCACATCTTACTGTGCATTATAGAATTCATACAGGTGAGAAACCATATGAGTGTAAGGAATGTGGGAAGGCCTTTAGTCATTGCTCACAACTGATTCAACATCAAGGAACTCATACTGAGAAAAGACCCTATAAATATAAGGACTGTAGGAGGACCTTAATTCACGATTTAACTACTGTTCAACGTCAGAAGCTGCATAACAGAGAAACACATGTGAATATAATAAATGTAGAAAGGCCTATCAGCACGTATCCCTTATTAATTATCAGAGAATTTATGTTGGCAAGCAGCCATATGAATGGAAGTAACAAGGAAAGCCTATTAGGTTAGGCTGATCCAAGCTAACACCTGTGTCTTGGAGAAAGTCTTCAGGACTCTAATACAAGTGAGGATACATTCGCTTAGAGGTTATCGTATGTCAGAAAATTTCTATCCCAAGAAACATTTTATGGTTGGAAATGGTTTAACCCATGGCTGCCTGAGAAGCAGAGGAAGAAGGGAAAAAGATGTTTAATATGTTTCAGAATCACATTTTCTAACCACATTGTAATAATCATAACAAAAGCCTGAAGTTTTCCTTTTCTTGGAAATAGAAAACAAAAAGCCAGATTACTCTCAGGTTCACAAAAAAATAAAACAGAATTACCATGGATGATAATGAATAAGCTGCCAAAAGATGTACCCAGAACCACCCGCAGTGGAATCTTTACAGCCAAGGTCATGTATCTACATGAAACCTGAAAGACTATATCAAATACACATTAAATGCATTATTCTAGACTGCCAAGCACCCAGGAAATGGAAGAACGAAATAAAGGCAGAGTGAGGGTAGTCCAGGAATCTCAGTTTTAATTACTTTGTGATTCAGGAGTGGTCTAAATTTGGGAGTGTTTCTTAATGGGGTTATCTGTTAGGAATTCCATGACAGACAAATACTGGTTGCCTACCCAGCACCCATGCCCTCTTCCCCTTAATGGAAGCCCTTGCCTTGCCTTAGAGTCTGAAAATATCAGATACTAACTTTTTAGTGTGTGCAGCTTTGGGTGGCCATATGTCCCCCAGTGTTGGCCAGTGTTGTCTGCTGGGGGTTTGGGGAAAGAGTTTTCTCATTCAGAAGAGATGTATTGTGTGGTGGAATGAGAAGGCTGTGCCAAGTAGCTGCTGACAAATGAGCTTCAGTTACTCAGGAATGGCTTTGAAACCCACCTGGCATCAGAGCCTTCCTGGCAACAGGCTGTGATTGATTAGGGCATAAACCACACCTTGACCGGATTGGCTATCTTGGTTATTTAAGCTGCTGTACCAACTGAAATAAACGAGTCTACGGGCTGCTTGCCTCTGGCCTGTCTTCACCCAGCTCCTGGGGTCTGTGTGGTGATCCCGCGCCTCTTGCCCCCACCACACTCCTCCTCTCAGA